CTCTGCAATATGTACTGGAATCAACAAAAATTCTGCTCTGTCTGCCAGATTCCACAGACACTCTACATTATGTACTGTCTGCCAGATTCCACAGACAGTCTATTTCATGAACTGTCTGCAGATATTACAGACACCCTACTTTGTGCACTGCCTGCCAGATTTCGCAGACAGTCTACTTTATGCACTGTCTGCAGATTTCACAGACACTCTACATTATGTACTGTCTGCCAGATTCCACTGACAGTCGAGATTAGACACTAGAATGAACAGAAACTCTTTATTGTCAGCCAGACTCGTCAGAAACTGAAACGCAGCAGAACATTTCTCAGATGTATCTAAGAAAAATTTTGGCAGACATTATCTAGAAAAATTTTTGGCAGACAGTATCTAGGAAAAATTTTGGCAGACACGCCAGAAAAGTGGTGGGGGCTATCCCCACCCATCCCCACCCACATCGTGGGCCCTGCATATATTTGTGGACAAGTGTAACAGTAATAATGAGAAAAAATGAAAGAGATTTTTCTCTAATACAATCCCGAAGAGTAGAATAAAATAGAGTTTATTAACAATCAAGTGAAAATTTTTTCTCAAGTTTTTTTTTACAGAACAAAATAAGAATTTTCCAATTGATTCGTCTATAGATCTAGATAGAAAAGTTTTAACTTATTGAAAAATATCTATCCAATTGACAATTGATTGAACTTTATTTAAATTAATCTATGAAAAATTTCCAAAGAGCAATTTTTCGTTAAAAGAAAACAATAGAAATCTTACCTAAAAAATCGATGATTTCTGACAAAAAAAACATTTTCTATTGAAAATAATTTCCTGTAATATATTTATGTATCGAAATATTTAAGGTCTATTAAATGTATATTCAGTTAATGCATCATTGATTTTCATATTCTTTTCTTCGTCGACAATAGCTCGCTGTATCTCTCATATTTTTCTTCGTCATCGAAAAAACGATATTTATGAGATAGATTTTTTTTTCTTTCTTTTCTTGCGTTCTTTTTTTTTGTCCTTGATAAATCTACTCACAAATATGCAATGAAAAATAATGGATAAATATTTTGAAATTTAAATATAATTATTTTAAAATCTAAATATCGATATTGAACAAATTCTTCGTCTAGAATTTAATAGATTTATTTCACTTTTCTTTTCTATGAAAATATTCTTCTTACTTATATCAAATATTCATGATCATTCTTATCATTAATTTATGCTCATTCTATTTAATTTTACATTAAAATATTGAAGAATTCGTGACAAAATAATAATTTTCTTTTAATATCAATGTCAAACAGACGGTACAGGCAGTGTATACTCATCCTCAAACGATTAACTATCAATATTATATCAACAATTGTTTACTATCTCTTATCGAATAAATCAAATACTAAAAATCTGATCAAGTTAAGTGAGCTTCAAATTTGAAGTTTACGAGTTTCAACTTTTCGATAGCTTGTAGCTTGTAACTGCGTGCTTTGTTTTTCTTGAGTATCATCAGTCGACTCAGCACAATCCAGAGTATCTATTAGAGCAATCAAAAACAGATGATTACAGTTTTTAGGTAGAGTTTTTCTCGAAAATTTAGACATTCGTAAACTTCATATTTGGAGCACACTTAACTTGGTCGAAAAATCTTCATATCGAGTTTATGACATTAAAATTCATGATGATAGTGATAGATCCAATATTTTTATTGATATAATCAATCATTACATAAACGTTATATTCAATTTCATCTAATATTTAAATAACACAAGAAAATATTTCAATAAATCAATTCAACGAATACAATTCTATGTTTAAATAACAATGATTAGTATTTCAAACATTTAATTAAATGAATATTTATAGAATTTATTTTCTTTATTTCTAAAGAAATTATTAAAAGTTAATAAAGTGTTTCTGCTTCTATTCTTTTATTTTATCTCTTTCTATACTAGTTGATCACATATGACTATAACACGGAGAAATATCAGTCCGTGTTATTAAGATTGAGGGTGGGTGTGGGTATGAATGTAAAAGAAGAAGAGACATACATCCACATCCACCCCCAACATTTCGTTTTATTTCGAAGTAATAGCCAAGCTTTCAATGCATAATTAAAGTTATTATCAACACAAAATTATGAAAAAAGGTGAAAAATATCGACGAAGATCTATTTTTTCTTTTCTTTCTTCTTTCGAGTATGAACAAATATTATGATGCAATCGAAATACATTTGTTTTACTTTTATTTTGAAATAAAATAAAATAAAATAAAATAAAATAAAATAATCAACGAATTAGTGTACTTTACAATTAGTTTTATTTTGTTATATCTCGTTGAATAAATATATATTTAATTAAAAGATTGTCTAATATATCTGCAGATTGTTCATATATTCAAATGTTATTCAATCCAAAGTTTATGTGAGATTCTACTTTTTTTTCATATACTTTTTTAATTAATCAACGAACAATGAACGATTATTCGATCCGTTAGTTAATATGTAGGTGAAAAACAAAAAAAATATATATCATAAATTGCATTGCATAATGGTATAAATGCGAACAAACACACATAAATATAGAGAAATTTCATCTCATTTATTTTCTTTTATAGAAAGATTTCTCTTTTATCGAAAATTTCAATAAAAATAATTTGAGATGTTTTACATTGACGTGTTCTTTTTTTATGAGAAACGCTTTGATAAGAATTAACGAAGATAATTAACATTTTGAAATACAAAATAAAATTGATGAAACATTCTAACAAAGAATAAGATAGATAGATTACTTTGTTCTTGTTCGAATATTTATTTTATTATAATTACAATGACGAAGATGTGGAGTAGTGTTACCACTATCCTCAGTATATTACTCTATTATCCATTTATGTTCATATGATACAATGTCATGTATTATATATAAAAACACAAAGACGAGAGAATGAAAAGAATAAAATAGTGATTAGTTTTGCTTATCAATATACTATTTAGATTGAGATGAACAATATTTATCAATAAATATCAACTTTTCTATGTAGTAGAAAACGAAAATAATTGAATTTTTTGTTATTGATCAAGCGAAGAATTGTTCGATTGGATAACAATCAATTCTATCAAAATCAAACTGTTTTATCTATTTGGTGCAATTAAAATATTATAGTTATTTTATATGGAACATTTCTATATAAGTATCATACTAATCGATTATTTTCAAGGTTGAAAATCACAGTCGAATTCTTAATCATTGAATATGAAAAGAATTTGTTGTAAATAAGGCGATGAAAAATAAAACAGTTTGAGTTTAATTATTCATAAAGGAATAGTTTTAGTAAAATTTGCTCGATGATTTGTTGTTATACTATTACAAAATTTAAATAGATTTTTTTAAATAATTTAATCGATTTGAATGGAAATTAAGATAGTTTTTTTAATCCATAATATTTAATAGAAAAATAGTTGTATGATAAAATAAAAAATAAATTGCTTTGATTTTATTATTTAGAAATGAAGGTATCTTATTATCTTAACTGAGTTATTTTCAATGAGAATTTCAAATCTTTTCATCTTATCATCTAAATAAAAGTAATGGAGATGTGAAGATTCTATTAAGAATTATTTGTTTTTTAAATCTTAATTTTATATTTTCATTTTAAATGAAAAGAATAGTCGCGATAGTATATCTAGAAAATATGAAACCTATGAGAATAAAAACTGAACGATATAAATGTAAATGTAAATGTGAGTAAATATACTTGGTTTCAATTGATAAGTTTCTTTTCTTTTTCAATATTTTAATTCCAGGTCAAACTCTGACCCTGTTTCCTTAATTGGATTTAATTATTAAATAAGATTAATCAGAAGATATTCTCATTGTTTTTTAATATTTATCATAATGCTCATTTATATCTTTATTCAATAAAGACAAGATTAATTTCTCTCTTAAGAAGCATTTATTTAAATTTCGTTTTTCTACATAAAAAGCTATTCGATAAGGAAAATGATGAAAATTATTTCAATTGAAAAATCATTTTATAGTGTGAAGTATAATCATACGCAGTATTCAATAAAATCTCAATAAATAATAGTTAACTTCAAAATTAATATTCAGACATATTTCTCTTGAAATTCTAACCTTATTAGATTAATCTGAAATCGTCGACAAAGAAAAAAAGAATCAGATTATTTGTTCATATGTGATCTATTCGTTGAGAAGATTTAAGAAAATATTCTTGTTTCATCATAGTTTGAATAAAACCAACAAAATCTCATATACACCATGTGGATATCAGAAGAATTTCTCTTCAATATCTTATCTAATCAAATTTTCGATCAATTTCCGATCGATTATCGACATTAGTATTTTCGAGAATTTATTCATTAAAGACCTAGAAAAATCAACTTGAATCAATTTTGTTATTTCTTAACAAAATCAAAAACTTCCGAATTGAATCAGAATTAAATTGTTAGTCAATGAGTAACGGAATTACTCGAACGATTTTACGATTATAATAAAGGACGCGTGGTATGTAATTTGTTTCTCAGTTATCATCATAGTAACTAACAGTATGAAAATCGATTTAAGATATATTCGTATTGTTTTTAAACTAAATAGATCAAATTCAATTCTATCTGTAATAGTTATTTATGAGCTTTATTCTTAAAACAAAAAGATTTATGATATATTCACACAGGATTTTAAAGCATACTACACTATGTATATAAGTATACGACTAAATAATTCTTTTTCTCAAATCAGAAAATACATGAGTTATTATGTACACATTTATGCATGGTTTTGAATATTAATTTTTTAATAGTTAGTTGATGATCATGATTACGAGCACAAATTGGTCTTATTAGTCAAGAAGCAGCTCTTATGTTGGGTCTTACTATTAGCGAAAATATATCATATGGCTGTTCATCACATACATTTACTTATGAAGATATCATTAATGCAATTAGGTGAGCTCATTTTCATAATTTTATAGAAGTATTACCAATGGTATGTTTCACTCGTTTTATATAATTTAATACAAAGAAAACTGCAAATTATCTCTATATGACATGTTGAACTTTGAAATGATTATTTTATTAAATTTTAGGGCTATGATACACCTGTAGGATTGAATGGAACTTCGTTCTTACCTGGAGGTCAAAAACAGCGTATTGCTATTGCACGAGCTCTTTTTCGTAATCCAAAAGTTTCATTACTTGATGAAGCAACAAGTGCGTTGGATGTACATAATGAAAAGGTAAATAAAATTTGTTTGTCTATTTCTTCTAAAATATAAATTGCTAAAATATTAGATCTTATATTATCTCTATCTTGTTGAAACTTAATAATGTAATTCATAGTAGAGAGTTGACAAATTTGACAGTATTGAATAAGTTGAAAGGAATTAATAGTGAAAAATTTTCATGTTATTTCTAATCTTTTTTAGCTTGTTGAAGAATCGTTGAATGCTGCACGGCAAAATAATCCATCACGAACTGTTATTATTATTGCATATCGTCTTTCTACTATTCAATCATGTGATCTTATTTGTGTCCTTGATCCTAACGGACGATTATTGGAAAGCGGTACACATGCAGAACTAATGGCACATGGCACTGCTTATCGTAGATTTGTACTTGATCATATGTGAGAAGTAGAATGACTATAAACTTTATTCAAAATGATACATACGTTATCTCTCAGCCTTTGGCACAAAAATGGATCGAGAATTGTTATTCTTTAATGTATAATATCATTTGTTAATTAAGAAAAAATTCATATTAATATTATTAAATGACAAAGATTTATTTTAAAAAATAAAGATAGCTCCATAAATCAAAGCCAAAGTGAATTAAGTCAAATAAAATCTAAAAACTAATTATAAATCAGAATGTTGCATAGTTTTTAGATTTTTTCTTATCGTTGAGAAGATCATGAATTTGACTAATATATATCTATTTAATATAATAGAATGATTTATAAATAGAAAAGATCATCAAGTTTAAAAATGAATATTTTATTGTATCCCATCAGATCACTTGTCAAGAATTATACTCTTAATACAGAGTATCATACAACAAAATAAGCGATAGAATTAAAAAGAAAGATTAATTTTCATATTTATATTAACGAATATTTGTCATGACGGAGAGCGAAATCACTTGAACTTCTCACGAAGAAACCGCTAGACAATCCATTGCACTCTTTTGGTTACCTTGTTGTCTAGAACCTCATTCACACTGATAATTTATTTGTATTCGTCCTAATTCTTGGGATTGGTCGTCGATATCTTTTTCAACTAACTAATAAACTAAAATAAAAGCCAATATGGATGCAAAAAAAATATTCATTTTACCTTATATTTTTATTCAAAAGTTTCGTTTTATTAATTATGTCGCTTGAAATTATTCTTAATAGATTGATTACCTTATTTATTTTAGTCGAAATAAATAACGTTTTAATTGACATATTCTTCTAAAGTTCAATAATATATAGTTATTCATTTATCAGCAAATAAAGAAAAAACAGATCACAACGTAACGTTTGAGAAAATAAACAAAGTCAAAAGAAAACAATTATCATTTTTCATATATGAAATACGCTGAGAATAAATCAAAGATTCTCTGTCACATTTCTCAAACGGTTGTAGAGTATTAAATATGATTATATCAATGAGCAGTTCATAACTGAAACAGTCAATAAAGAAATTTGTTTCACTTCATCCTCGAGTGATACATATGAAGCAGAAATAAAAATAATTTCTATATAGACATATCCATATACTTGAATAGGCATTTATCTCGAATTCTTTTGAACTTTTACGAATAAATGAAAACATGGATTGGAAAATTCTCTCGAATTATTATTTTGTGTGTTTTTCTCATGTAAAGAAAATTTAACGAAATAGTCACGAAATAATCGATTATTTTTATACGATTTTAATCAATAATTTTGACAGTAATAATTACACATAAATCATCAATAAATTGATTATTTCGTGACTTTCGCAAAATTTTCTTTGTATGGATTGTAGTAATGTATTTTAATGTGCGGTAATGTGATTGCAAAAAAATGTATTCCTTTCTAACTCCATGTGATTGACACATTTCTACTTGAAATCACACAATTTCTTTTTGATTGATGAATAGGATACAATCGTCAAAACGTTCCATTTCTATCATTAGATTGTATGTATTATTCACCTTTATCCATTCGATTCTCATAGAAGAATCAAAGGCAATAAATCATTCTTTTTATTTTTCTTATCGAAATGCAACAAATTCCTTGATACAAATCAAAGACACAGAATTAAATCAAGTGTCAAACAAATCTAAACTCATTATTTTTCTATTATTCTTTTCTAACTCTTTCCAAACAATAAGATTTCATTGATTCATTTAAAAATATCTGATATGTTTAAGAAATTCGTTATTTTAAAGATTCATGATTTATAACCAATCTATAATTGCATTTTTTTAATACGAATAATAGTATAAATTTTCGTTTTTCTTCAAGAAATATATTTCTAACTCGATATTATAATGAAAGTTGAAACAATTATTTATTTATAATCGATTGATTTGTAAATAAAATCATATTATTAATTAATATTATATTTAATCTTAGAAAAAAATCTCATCGGTATTATACAACTATTTGCAAATGAATGATAATCTTAAAATAACATTGTATCTCTTACAAATATATATATGAATTTTATTGTAGAACTAAATTGATGATTTTCACTTCTCATACCTCTTTTATCTATTTTATTGTTTGTTTACTCTTAATAAAACTTTAACTTAAAGCTTCATGCTTGTATAAAGATTAAAAGCAATCGATAACTTATTCTTTCTTTTTTTTATTTATACTAATGATTGAATTTACTATCCCTGGCTTTTTAATCATACCGTATTACTCCTACGTGACACGTTAGAAGAAAATATTATTTATGTTTACGCCTATGAAAAAAATATCTAAAATTTTTGCCTTTAACACAGTGTTGCCCACGTTTTTCGATAATATGAAAGAAAACAGATAAAATACGTGCAGGACGCAAAATCAGTGAAGCAAAGAGTATTGAATCACTCTTCACACTAATACAAAGAGACATATAATAACCTTTACCTTTCATAATAACACATATTTGAAAAGAAAAAGAAGAAGATGAGTGATAAAGAGCCACTATTAAAGACATATAGCAAATCACCTATTGACAATGATAGCGACAATGAAAACAAAAGGTATACGATTTAAAAAAATATAATATTGATAAACACATAAAAACTCATTATTATTTATAGTTTTTCTCAGTGGCGTCAATATTTCAATCAGCAAAAGACTGATGCTAAGAATAAAAAGTTAAACGATGAGATCAAACATATTACTAAAGATATTCCAGTCGGTGTTTTGCAATTAGTAAGTATATTCAAACATAATATATACTAAGTTGAAAGCATATTGTTTTTCTTTTTAATATATATATATATGAATTAATTCATTTCATTTAATGATAGTTTCGATTTGCTGATCGTATTGATATTCTTCTTATAATTATCGCTCTGTGTTTCATGCTGGGAGATATAGTTTGTGCTCTCACAACTATAATTCTTTTTGGTCGAATCACAGGATTATTTGCCACAAAATCATTTTCTGTTGATTGTCATAATCAATATGAAAATTTCGTCTCTACAATTATCAATAATAGTGTATGTCCTTTTGGTATTGATCTTAATTCATTTAATTATGATAGATTACATAAGTAATTCAATGAAAAATATTTTTATTTTTAATCTTTTCAAATTTTTTATTCTTAGACTATGTCATTATGATAATAAAATTGTTCCATCGACATTATCTCCATTAACACCTTTATTTCGAGAAAATGTTATGAATCTAGTTTATTTGTTCTTCGGTAAATCTATTGAATATGACGATTTAAACTGAAAAAAATAAATGATTTGTTGTTTCTCTGTATGAATGTAGGTGTAAGTATTCTTGGATTTCTATGTATTTCTCTTAATTATATCTGTTGGACAATTGCTACGAAACGACAAACATCTCGAATGAGTATTTTACTCTTTCGATCACTTATTCAACGCGTAAGTTAAATTTTTTTACACTCGTAAAATACTCTATAGTTCCTAATCATAAGTCAACAATTGAATAGTATCAAATTTCTATTAAATGACTAACATTTAGTGCAGATCTGCATTGTAAATGTTTTTATTTCTTCAAAGACTGTTATTCATTGAAGAGTAAATAAAATAATTGATTATAAACGATGAAATTAGTTAAAATACAGTTTATTCGATTTCATTTCTGTTGGTCCAAGTCAAACATAAAACAAAATAAAGTAGATAATTTTCGTCTCGATTTCTTATTTTCTTTTTTCAAGATATTTCTCTAATCAAGAAAGTAATGATTCTAAAAACATCATTTGTATATCAATAGAAAATAGATAAGAAACGAGAATGATAATATGAATGAATCTCAAAGATCATGTTCAAGGTAAATTTACCGTAAAAAATAAACAGAGAATTTTATTATTAATACAATTTCGAAATAGTTTTAATAAATTAATTAGAAAATAACATAAAATTTATTTATTTGTTAAATTATAATTTAAGATAAAATAATCTTGTTCCTTCTCTTTCATTCTTTTTAGAACATGACATATTTGGATATAAACCAAACTACTCAATACAATTCAAAGCTTTTTACGTAAGGAAATATAATAAGTTTAAAAGAAAGAATTCGATATGATCGATTTCCTTTACAGTCACATTGAAAAGATCAAGAATGGGATGGGTTTTGAATTTGTAACAGCAATTGAATTTATTCTAATTATGATTTTCAGTATAATTATATGTTTTATTCTCAATTGGAAATTATCTTTAATTATGTCTTGCATAATTCCAATTGTTGTTGGTAGTTCATTGATGTTTGCTAAGGTAGAAATTATTGTTTAATTTACTAAAAATTTATCAATAGTTACAGGTCATTACTAAAGAAACAGAAGAACAATTAAATACATATTCAAAAGCTGAACAAATCGCCCAAGAAGTATTTAGTTCATTAAGAACTGTTCTTTCATTCAATGGAAGTAAAAAACAACAAAAACAGTAAATAAATAAATAAATAAACAAATCAAATATTATTTCTTGTCTTTAGATATGAAAAAGAATTAAAATTAAATGAATGGTTTACTGTTCGCAAAGATATTGCATTTGGTACTTTTTTTGGTTGGTTATTTTTTATAAATTTTCTAGTTTATTCAATTGGTTTCACTTTTGGTTCTATTCTTATGTCTGATGAAACTCATCATACACTGACTATTAGTGAGATTCTTATTGTAAGTCACCTATAACATCAATATGCATAAGAAAGTAACTGAAAAACGAAATTTTGTTTAGGTTGTGAATATGTTTGCACAAGCTTTAGCTTTTCTTAATTCAATTGGTCCTTTCTTCCAGTCAATTTCGGAAGCTCAAGGTGCAGCTGTATCTGTATTTCGACTTATTGATGAAGTAATATTGATTGGATACTATAGAGACTAAATGTTGCTAATTATATTTTCTATTTTATTTTATGATATAGGTACATAATGAAAACCTGAATGAAAGAGAAATATTGGAAGAGAAAATATCT